ACTTTTTAGAAATAATGTTATAAACATTGAAAAGCCTGTTTGATGCAATGCTTCGGAAAGGAGAGAAAGAGAAATTGCCCGTAGAGTTAATGTTACTGACTCAGATACTAACACAACACATTGTAACTAAACAAGACAAATTAGCAGACATGATGGAACACAAGCTGTTTTTGTTTTTTTCTCGCAAATTCATCTCCCTTTTACACAGCATCTTTCATTTTTTTGCACTGGTTACTCAAACACACTTGCCAGCCACATTGAGGTGAAAAGAAGGACACTCGTGTCTGAATGTGAACTGTGGCCTTGTGCCATTTCAAGAGAGCGAAGAGCAAAGTACAAAAATAAGCATAACATGGGGTTACTTCGGCATCACTCAGGTCACGCTGTTCTTTTTCATTAAAAAAAATACTTTATTGATGAAATCGAAAGGACAAAAGAGACCATATAGCTGGAGGTTACAGAAACCAAAGTGAGCTTGCCTGTCGGAAACAGATCGTTCCCTCAGTGTGCGCCAGCAAGGACGATGCCTCACGCCATATACCAACAGTGACGCACGCACATGCATGCGCAATTATGATCAAGCCACTGCCATGACAGACGATGCTCCCATGATGAGTGCAAAGCCAATCTGATAGCGATCACCACATTACCTGAAGTCACATGGGCAAGAGACACACTGCGGACGGGCATAATAATTGACTAATAGAGTGATTGATTGTGCAATTGGTGGCAAAAGGGAGTGCATGACTGGGCAGCTGCTGAGGTGCTGTTGATTCGGTCTACAGATAAAAAAGGAAGACTATTGGAAGTTAAACTACATTCACTAGACCTTCACTGAGGCGACTAGAGCCTTCAACCGATTGCGCATGTTTTTAGAATGTGGGAGGAAACTGGTGTACCCTGACAAAACCCACGCAGGCATGTGGAGAACTTGCAAACCCCCCACAAGAAGGATTTGATAATCACTCATCCTCTGTGCCACCTACTACTGGTGTACCCTGACAAAACCCACGCAGGCATGTGCAGAACTTGCAAACCCCCCGCAAGAAGGCCGGCTCTCAACTGTGAAGTGGATTTGATAATCACTCATCCTCTGTGCCACCTACCCCTAAGTTAATCATGGAGATTGAGTGAAATGCCCATCCCTTGTACACACGCAGTCACTCAGTGCCAACTATGAATTAGCGTGAGCGAAATTAATGCGATGGATGGCGACATAGGGTGAGTGAGAAAGCGGTCAGTCACATTTGAAACTGCCTCCCCTACATGCCTTTAAAGCACCTATAGCACAGTGAGCTAACACATCGGCCATAGTAGGCAAGACCAACCCCACCCCATCAGTCCACTGCACACAAATTCTGCAACACATTTACCAGATGCCCTCCAAACAGCGGCTTCCATGCAATTTGAGTTCTTTTAAGCTCAAGATTTCATTTTAAGCCTCTGTTGATGAAAAGTGGCACAGCCCAGAGGAAGAATGGGTGTAGAAGACATTGAGAATTCATGCTGAGATTGAAGTTGGCATAATTTGTTTTTTTTCTCCCTTTCTTTTTTTCTCCCATTTGACATGCTTTGGAGCTTGAAATATTTATGTGTTGCTGTGATCGTGCCTCGAAGAGGCTCAATTTCATGTGGACAGCAGAATTCCTCCACAGTCACAATATTAGATACACGTGCACACATTGAGGACTTCAAAAGAAATTCTAACTTTGCAAAGCTCTTCAGAGAGTCAATTGGGGTACAGTGAACAATCCTTTGGAGTCTTTATTATAGCCGATGTTAAGGAATCTATTCCTTACTGTGGGTTTTTTTTAGCCCCTCTCTGTTGTTGGTTCTGTTCAAACCCTTGAACAAAGAATGTAGAATGCTGTTGAAGGTATTTCCTGCTTACTGTGATTACAATCACCTTTAGTGCCTCTTGACCCCCACCTCGTGAGAGTCCCTGAAGGCCGACAAGTTCCCCCGGGAAGGGACTCTTATCTCAAGATTTACGCACAGCGGAAGAGGTCTGGACTTTCCCAACATGCCAAGATCGAATTGCGTCGATCTTTCTTTGTTTCCAGGATTTGCATGGAGGCGTAACTCCCCGCCTCTCATTATCATATTGTCTCTATATATTCTCATGACTGTATTTTCTCTGGGCTTCCTGACGAAATCTGAAACTCTCAGGAGCTCGAATCGATTTGTAAACTGCAGAAAAGAAAAATAAAACCTTCGCAGGTACTGTTCATCGTCTCCAGCCTGTATTTGGATAACCAACATCCTCATCATCCGAAATTAACGAACACGCAGAGGAAGAGAAAGGCCCTCTCCCCCAACACCGACAAGGATTTAAAAAAAAAAAAAAAAAAAAAAAGAGTTCCCTAACATAAAAGGGGAAATATTGGGAAGAGCTCCCAGCGTGATGCAGTGCAATTAAAACAACCCACATAAGGTGTTTTGCAAGCTTTCAGCTGCCTAATTAGTTATTACTGTATACTGTATGAGGGGCAAATTATAATAACGCCTCCTCCAGTGTGATAAGCACCGCTGCAATCTCCAACTACAACTGTAAAGTATACATGATATTAATAATAGCTCTTATATACAGCTTATACTCGTGTATGATTATGAGACTGATGCTGTTTTGATTGTTGTGAACGAGGGCCACAGGCAGTCGGCGACGTGGACTGAACCCACCTGTCCACGGCGATTGCAGTCATGGAGTAAATGCTGGCAAACACGGACGTGACCGGAAAGAAGTTGTGGAATTTGCAGTAAGCCTCCCCAAAGTACCACTCCCCATGGGTCGCGTAGACGAAGTTGATCAAAGTGTTGAAGGCGGCCATGGAGGCGTCCGAGAAGGCCAAGTTGAGGAGAAAGTAGTTGGTCACCGTCCTCATGCGTTTATGAGCCAAAATGATCCAAATGACGATAAGATTGCCGAACACGGCCACGGCCAGCACCGAGCTGTAGGCGACGGACCAGAGGGCGACGCGCCACGGCGGCTGCACAAACTGGTTCGTGTAGTTTGATGTAAGGTTCGATCCGTTGTGGGAAGCTGCCATTCTTGTCTCCTTTCCAAAAAGAAAAAAAAATGGAGCTACCAAGACAGACGCGGGACAAAATGGGACTGCAGAGATTTAGGTACCACGGTGCGCAACAGGACCACAAGCATAACTAAACATAGCCATCCCATCCGAATGATGTCTCCCGTATAATTTCTCGTCGGCAGGCGACTGATCCAGACGTGCAAGTGTGCGTAAATGCCTGTTGAGTGAGGCTCTGAGAGCAGCAGCGGCATTCGCTGGACGCCGTGCGCACTCGCTGACGCACGAGTGGAGTGGGCACACAAACTGGAGGAGATTGATCGACACTTGTGGGTGCTGTTTTAAACTTCATGAATAACAAATGCAAGTCGGACTGCGCGTCATCACTCAGAGCGCATTGTGCTGCCTTTATTTTGTTTTCAACCCACCTAATCTCGTGTGGGAGCAGCCAAATAAAGGATATTGAAATATTCCAGCTGTATGTGTGTGTGTGTGCGTGTGTGTGTGTGTGTGTGTGTGTGTGTGTGTGTGTGTGTGTGTGTGTGTGTGTGTGTGTGTGTGTGTGTGTGTGTGTGTGTAGCTTCAAACCTTGTCTACAACATCGTATGTATACTATGGATCAGAAAAATAACTACCCCCCCCCCACCCTGGGGTTCAATAATCTTGTCACAAGGGTGAGTAGGGTGGATCAGTTCCCCAACAGATTCAGTGGATGGCAGTTTTATTTTAGCCTCCAAATCATTTTTTTTTTTAGTTTTCATATACCACAGAGTCATTATTGGAGTTAATTCCCCAGCGACAGGGGCGGGCAATTCATTTTCGAAATGTTGCCATGTATGAAAATGGAACTTTTTGAGGGCCACATTAGCATACTAACTTCAACAGGCTGTTTGCAGGAAATCTCCCGTATCAGTTATTTACGGCTGTTTTGAAAAATTGAAAATTGAAAAATTGTGTGTGTATAAAACGTTTGCAAAATTAAAAAAAATACAGTTATCTTGAAATACCCAACAAAAAAACTCAAATATTTTCGAATTCAATCAATAAATAAATAAATGAAGCAAAAGGTAACACTGCACTGGATCCAGCAAATACTATACACATAAATCAAATGACAAATGACAAATGACAATTTTTTTTTTTAAACATTATTGTACTCAGACCACTTCATAAAAGTCCTAATAGCACACCGGAATACAGACTTCAATCTAAGACGATACACTCAATTCAAAATGTACAAAATGAGAGTGGCAAACACAGACACCTGCTTACAATGCATAATCTATTCAAAGGATGATTGCTATCGCACACTCTCGAACTGCCAACCTGTGTACTCGTTTCGGAATCCTGCAAGGCAAACACTCTCCACCTGTTTGGACCCGGGGCATGTGGAGGTCCAAATTCCAAATGACTGAAGACTAGTGGAACAATGTTTTTTTTCCGCAAATCTAAACTGAAAGCAACACATGATGCTTTAAACATATGATGGCTCAAAAATACTCAAGTTACAATTAAGATCTGAAACAAGTTTGAAATTCTTTCCCCCATAGTGTGAAACCTGCTGTTCCTAGAGGCTGCGCTTACCTGTTTCCCGAATATGGCGAAAGGCCTTATGTCCATCAGGTAATTACCGTTGTTTTCTCATTGAAATGTCGCCTCATCGCTGTACGAAATGTCAGAGCAGTCCTCAGCTCATTTCCCAGAAGCTTTTGTGTCATGCGTCACAACTTAGGGAGCAATTGTCCTTGACGATTGCAGCTGTACTAGAGACAGCCACTGATTGGTCAACCAAAGAACCAAAGAGAAATTCCTCTCAATTATTTCCCAATTAGTCAGAACAGTGGACATTAACATCCGAAGATTATGTTCCTATTAAGGAGGCACGTAAAGGCATATTGTAACAGTACTGGTCTTTCACTTCAGAGTGCAGTGGAATGTTTTTGTGCTAAGACGTGATGTCTTTGTATTTCCGTGTGAGTGTGAGGTTGAGAAATAATTGAAGACCACTCTGCAGGAAAACCTCGGACCAAAAGTTTAATCACACAGGTAATTTCATCGGTTAACCCTGTGCCGAATGCAATTCCACAGATATGGAGCGCAAACACTTTCTTGCACAGTAACTTTGGCCCCCTAACGTGAGCGCAAAATGCAAATTAACGATTAGTTTGTTGCCAGCACAAAGTGCTCAGATCCGCGTGGTGGCCTGGCGACAAAGGCAGGCAGACCCAAGGTCAAGAAAGCAGCTAAGGCATTCATTCATTCATTCATTTTCCGAACCGCTTGATCCTCACTAGGGTCGCGGAGGGTGCTGGAGCCTATCCCAGCTGTCTTCGGGCAGTAGGCGGGGGACACCCTGAATCGGTTGCCAGCCAATTGCAGGGCACACAGAGACGAACAACCATCCACGCTCACATTCACACCTAGGGACAATTTAAAGTGTTCAATCAGCCTACCATGCATGTTTTTGGAATATGGGAGGAAACCGGAGTACCCGGAGAAAACCCACGCAGGCCCGGGGAGAACATGCAAACTCCACACAGGGAGGCCGGAGCTGGAATCGAACCCGGTACCTCTGCACTGTGAAGTCGACGTGCTAACCACTGGACTACCGGGCCGCCCCAGCTAAGGCATTGTTCCGTCGAAAAGCTTTTGTAAATGAACCATCATATGAAGAAAATTAACTCTGAATGGTGAACAATGGCGGTGACGTTACACTATTACACTTTCAAATTCGAATGACTCACGCACAAGAATGCACGAAAGAATTAGTGCGTGCAACTAGCGTGAAATCATCTATCGATCTACCGTATTTTATTGAACGTGCGTTACCAATAAAACTGGACCCCAAAATGCATTCTCACACACAAATGACAGCAAAAATCTGAGTCAAGTTGTTTATTTTGTCTTTGCAGTATGTCTGCAAAATTGCAAGCTGTGAAATTTGGCGATTGCTTGGAAAGGGAGGAAAATATTAACTCAAAATGGGTCCATAGGTCGTCACGCATCCCACAGTGTACTGAGCCAAACGTAAACAAAGCCACAATGGCAGAAGAGAAAATGAGCGGCTACTTTGAGTAAACGCAAACGGCACACTTTTGACAATTGTAGACAACAGCAAGCGGCGGCGACAAAACAAGGGACGGGCGTTTTATAAGGCTACCAAAAGAAGAACCAAGGTGTAGTAACGAATAGCTGCCATAAAAATTGATCAAGAACGAGACGGAGAAGTGGGATTGTTCTCGTTGTGGCGGTTATTGCCCGTGTAGTGATCACTTCATATCACGCGAGTCAATTACTGAACCAGTTAATTATGTGGATGTAACTTGAGTCAATAGTTATTTACTATTAAATGACAGTGAAAGGCATGATCTCCACTGTAAATCATTCGACTGCCTGTGTGTGTGTGTCTGTGTGTGTGTGTGTGTGTGTGTGTGTGTGTGTGTGTGTGTGTGTGTGTGTATTTTTAATATATTTTTGAGCACCATCCATTCTCCAATGCATGCATTGAATAACATGCACACACATATACACACACACAGTAGGCTTTTTTTTTTATATTAACCCCATGATAAATTGGTCAGTGAGCTCAGGTTGCTGGAAATGCACTATATGATGTAAACCTAAGTACTTTTTTTACTTTTTGGCACATTTGTGTTCACCACCACGATTAGAATGGTGGGGGCAGGGGGGGAGTGTAATAGGGTAGCCACATATTATGTATTCTTGTGTTTCATCACTGTCTTCATAATTGAACTGCCATGCATGTAATTTCTTTTTTGCTCACAGGCAAATGAAGCCACTCTTCGAAAGAGCTGTGTTGGCCAAGCAATAGCCCAGGCATCTTCTCTGCAAATTGCCAGGTGTACTTGAGTGTGTTCAGCGGTATTGCATGTTGTTTTTTGTCTAGTATTAAATATAAACTCCTGTCGGTAATGTGATGTCAACCACATCTTTGATATGACATGCTGTTGCCTGCTCTTGTTCACGTCGAACTGCCATGGCAACGGAATTTTTTAAAATGTCCAATTTCGGATATATTTGCATGAAAAATGTTTGACTCCCTCAGAATTCAACTTCAATTATTCCAGCTGGAGTTTGCTGTGCTGTGCAGCCATTTGTCTTAAAGTCTTGCTATTAACAGTGACTTGTAAATCTTACAAACCGCCACGGATGTGTTTTTGTGAACCATTAACAGAGGAAACTGGACTTTTGAGAGTGCCAATCAAGAACATTTGTGATTCTGAGCACTGATTAATACTGCAATGGTTGCTGACAGAAGAGCATGTTTTACTTTTGGATTTTGCCCCCTCTTTGATTGCATTTGTATCATATTTTTGTTGTTGACTGAAAATGTGCTTTAATAATAATTCTACATCTGTAAAACAATAATTCCCTGAGAAATTGCTTGATAGATATTGTTGCTCCTCTGAAAACAAAGAAAGAAAGAAAATCCATGTTAGAGGTTTATCGTGCCCTCTTCAATAAAAATGTAATTTAATTGTGTCAGTACCCCAACGTGCCAGTATCCCAATGTGGCTCGAGCTGTGAGGGCCCCTCATCGGTGCTCGAAGCTCGAGTTCTTTCTGTTTTTGTCGCAGCCACAAAACACAAACACACAAACAGGAGCTCTGATTCCTAAGAGAATGGAGTTATATACACGATTGTCTGTGTCTAATGTGTTGTCTTGTATTATTTTTTCATTTTATGTTAACTTTTCTTTTGATGGTGGCGCAGGCACCCGCACTGGCTCCTCTTGTTGTATGTTGTCATGAGAGGGAAAAAATGTCATCTGTGCTGTATGTTGCACATACAGCACGTTTGACAATAAAGTTGTACTTGATACTTGATATTTCAGGAGATCATGAGTATATTCCTTTCAGCCCTTTATGATGTTACAATAATTAATTTACATGTAAGTGTGAATAGTGTGTTGGGAGGGGGGGATTGGGGCATATGCAGCATCTAAAATTAGAAACAGAAAATGCAATATGCACAATTATGTAATACTTTCTTTTTTTCTTCATGTACACAACTTTGTGTTCCACTTTTGATGATTGCTGTTTTTTTTAATCGAGTCACACTCCCTTGGGCAATGAATTCCCAAGAAATGTCTCTTCTGGGAAATCAGCAGCAAATGTCCCGGGATAAATGGCATGTACTCGATCACGGCGCCTTTCCTGCTCTGCCAGGAAATTCTCATAGGCTTCTCAAAATTGACTTCATGACAACATGGAGTACGTGCTTTGAATATCACCGCAATGTAGGCCGTGCTGCACACACATGCGGCATGTATGGAAGTTTAGTCAAAGGATGGCAGCTGTGAATGGGAAAGGTGGGAGAGACAGAACTGCTCCCTCTACACTTTTTGCTAATCATTTCACATTTCATACAGAGCAGCAACTCATCTGTGAAATCAATGTAAGTATACCGTATTTCCTCACATAGAGGCTAGGAGCGTTTATTTACTCAACTACAGAAAGTACCAGGTGGATACTTGAGGGCGGTGTTCGGGAGGAGAAGTTTGATTTTTATATATTCATACTGATACGATGTCAAGTAGCGTAGGGGTTTCCATTCACCTCAGGGAATTTGAGTCCTGCAAGCAGACCTCGAGCAGGGAAGGCTAGATTACATGTCAGTTTAAACATGGGAAATTTAGTCATTATATATTTCAGGCGAAACACATGCACACGCACACACACACACACATACACCTCTTACTGATACAATGGAACCACAACAGAGCTTGTTGAGATCATACATGAGAAATGTATCCAGTCGTATGACAAGATGAAATACTGTGTGCTTACATGACTGAAGTGGCAGATATAAGTCACAACCATTGCAGCTGTTGCAGTAACTGTTTTAAATAAATAGAAAAGAGGAATTAAGTATGGCACAAAAAGGGCCATATGTGTCAAAGGGCAAAGAAGAAATGCAAAAGAGGAATTTGGTATGCGTGTAACCATCCAGTCATCCATTTTCAGATCAGCTTTTCGTCACAAGGGTCGCAAGGAGTGCTGGAGCCTATCCCAGCTGTCTTCAGGCAGTAGGTTGGGGACACCCTGAACTGGTTGCCAGCCAATCGCAGGGCAGATATAGATGAATAACCATCCACACTCAGACTCACACCTGGGGATAATTTAGACTGAGTGTTCCATTAACATGCCACGCATGTTTTTGGAATGTGGGAGGTACCTGGAGTACCCAACCACACAGGCACAGGGAGAATGTGTAAAACTCCACACAGGGAAGCTGAAGCCGGAATCGAAACCTATGAAGCAGACACGCTAAATAGCCGACCACCCGGTCGCCCCTCACTTGGAACCCTGATAAGAAAAAATATCATGTTTGAGATGTAGAAAATTAGTATTATTGACAAAAATGTGTTCAGGACCGGTGTCACTCTCAGAAAATAGATGAACACTGTGCACCTGCCATAATGTGCAAAATTGGATATACAGTACTATATCAAGTATGATGTCTGTGAGTGAACAGTAACGTGTCTACAAACTCACATGCTCGTTAGTGATGATAATTGTATGGTAGAGTGAGTTGTAATATATACTTATAACACTCGTTTTTTTTTCCCCCTGAACAGAATCTATTTTCATCGCGTCAAGTGCATGACAGACCCATACATTTAATGAGTCAAAACTTTTATTGGAATAGTGGTCACAATTTTATTACTTTTGTTTCCGAGTTTTGTGATTTTACAATGAATCAGAAGAGATCTCTTATCTGTGATATTGCAAAGTGCAATAGAAAATTCAAAATCTCATCAGAGTTTTGCGGGTATAAAGCCTACTCTAATGTTTTTTTTTTCAATGATTTATCATATGTAAAAATACCACAGTAAACAGGAAATCTATTCGTGTTTAAACTGAATAAAAGTTTGCCTCTCCATGCTCCAGCTTATCCTCACGAGGGTTGTGGGTGTGCTGGAGCCTATCCCAGCCGTGTTCGGGCAGTACGCGGGGTACACCCTGACCTGGTTGCCAGCCAATCGCAGAGCACACATAGACGAACAACCATTCGTATCACAATCACACCTTGGGACAACTTATAGAGTGTCCCATTAACCTGCCATTCATGTTTTTCGAAGTGGGAGGAAACCGGAGTACCCGGAGAAAACCCACGCAGGCATGGGGAGAACATGCAAACTCCACACAGGAAGGCCAGAGCCAGAATGGAATCCTGCACTGTGAGGTGGACGTGCTAACCAGTCGCTGGTCCAGCTTGTGAGTCATTCTCCAGTGCCAGGGAGGCTTCAAGCGAGTGCCCCAGCAATGCCCACATCCCCATCTGGTGCACCTGAGGCTGAAATGTCCCCCAATCCACCCTACCACCCTGCCACATCTATGAATACACTGTCCGTAACTTAAAGTTGTGAGCTTTCAAGCCTGTTAATGATTGCAAGGACTCACAAATGTAGTTCATATGAGCTTCTTAGAGAAGAATAGCCCATTTTGACCACTGTGGCACTTTCAAATTCAGCTTCGCAGATGCCATGTCTGCACCGCAGCCAGGGTGTGTGTCTGGTATTGACCTTCACTACAACACACGGTGACATTAATTATCGTGAAAATAATTCTGACCTTTTCTTCAAAGTATAATAAACATATGTCTTCAGTATTCCTTTTTTTATTTAAATTGAAGTAGACACCTATGACAGTATCTAAGAATTCAAACTTCTCAATAAAAGGGAAGCCTATGAGCAAAAAAAAAAAAATCTTAAGTATGACTCAGTTATTTACCCCCTTAATTGCTTCATTGTTTTAATTCACCACCTACAGTAGAATTTAATTGAACATCTGTCTGCCACTATCTTTTGACAAATAGACACGCAGTCTGTTACAAAGTAGGACAAATGACAAGAATTAAAAAGATGACACAAATCTGCTTTCAATGAAGCCAACACACTAAAAGTTGCACTCATTCTCACCAGCTCTCCAAGCTGCTTTATTTTCATCTTGGCCTTTTTTTTTCCTCATCATTTGATGAGAGTTTGTGATGAGAAGTTTTAATGGAATTTAGTTATTAGAACCCAGGGACCAACACAAAAGATGCTCCACAATGCAGGACTGAATTCCGTCCCCCAGCACTTGCATCCGGGGGCGGTGGAGACTACTTCCACAATTTGGAAAAAATAAGAATGGAGGATCTTGACAACAGATTTCACTTCAACCATATGAACACTTGCTGGATCATCTTGAATGTATCGTGTCTGCTAGGGTGACTTCTTTCAGACAGAACGCGTTTCTGAATTTGCTGTAAAAGCAGTTTAAAGTATCTTGCTTCCAAGTGCCTGGTGATGTCAGGTGAAGGTGGATTTATGCAATTATCCATTCATCCATTCTCAGAAGCACATCTTCTCACAATGGTCACAGGTGTATGCAATTCTTAATCAAAATAATTTTTTAAATTTTTGTATCCCACTGGTTCTCTAACTTTCAAACTCTTAAGCATCAAGTACCAGTTAAAAATGACTTAGCTTTTTCAAATTACAACATACGACTATAAATTACAGTAGCATAGTAAGCCCAAGTGTTTATGGAAAGGGAGCCAAAGTTTGTATTCTTAAAAATGTTTAATTTTATCTTATGCCATTTTATCTTAAGTAACATTCTGTAGTTTGAATATTAGTACAACGCTTAAACATAAGAAAATATAAAACTGTACGATTTGAGTGATTAAATGACATGCACAAGTTAAATACAAAAATTGTACCTCAAAAATAGAAATAGATGTAGCAGCGCACGAGATATAATACAGTGGTCATGACAATACATGTGACATATTTATCCAAATTTCAATCCTTTGTTTTTATGAAATTATATTTATCCATTGGCATTTGACTGTATGTAGTTTCCATAGTTACTTGGGCATGTTCAGCTATTTTTGGTCGGTTGGGTCTGAATACAGAAAATAGACTCGTGTTGAAAGCTCTATCCACAAAGAAGAATGATTTTGTGTAAACGTCGGATTTCAGTTATTTTTTGTCTTTGTGCTCGTCATCTTTCTTCACATATTTGCCTTTTTCTTCCACATCCTTTGTTTCAGGCTTCTCTTGCTCTTCTCTCAGGTCTTCCCTTTTCTCTTCTCCTAATTCATCCAGCCCACCCCTATCTTCAGTTTTCTCCCCTCCCACTTGAACCTCCTCCCTTTTCACATCCTCTTCCCCCTCACCATCGTCCTCTATTTCCTCCCCTGTCAGGCGCTCCAGGTCATTGATGCGATGCCACAGAGTCTTATCGGTTTTCTTGTATTTCTCCAGAATCTTCTTCAGTTTGATCTGCATCAAATCCATCGTACTGTATAACTTGTTGACTTTCTCTTCCAGCTCCTTGGCCTCCGGCTTGATGTTAGCTGGGTCCAAGTCAATCAGGCCATCTTTCAACAGGATCTGTCGGCCCTTCTCCTCCAGCATGCCTTTAGCATCCGGGTACTCCATGAGCGACTCCATGAGGTCATCCTTGGACAGGCAGAAGAGGTCTGAGTATCCGATGCTGCGGATGTTGGCTGTCCGCCTGTTGCCCGCTTTGCTGCCCTTGATATTAAGGATACTGATCTCACCAAAATAACTTCCGCTTCCCAGCACGACAAACTGAGTAACGCCGTCATCTGCGACCACGGCCAGTTTCCCATCTTTGATGATATACATCTCACGACCAATATCGCCCTTCTTGCAGATGTAGTCTCCGGGGCTGAACACCTGAGGTCGGAGCTTGAGCACTAGTTCGATCAGCAAGCCTGCCTCACAGTCTGCAAAAATGCGAACCTTCTTGAGTGTCTCCATGTGAACTTGGATGGCGATCTCAGCTTTCAATTTATCTGGAAGATACCGCAACACCTCACGTTCATCCTGTGCCCTGCCATTGTTCCACAGGTAGTCAAACCATTTAATGACACGCAATTCCAGCTCCTTGCTGACCTTCCGAACCTGCAATTGACAGAGTTTCATGCAATCAATTTCAATCAAACAACGATACACTGCAGTCAATCTTGCATTCCCCAAAAATCAGAAGATAATCTACCTGCATGTACTGTTTAATGTTGTCAATCCGAGCCTGAAACTGGGCTTGGGCAGCATTCATGTTGGAGATCATGGTAGCGATATTTCCCACAATCGTGGCAAAGATGAGAACCCCAACTAAGAAGTCAACCACATGGAAGATAAATTCAGAATCGAGGGCCGGTGGTGGCGTTTCTCCAATTGTGGTCAGGGTTAATGTGGACCAGTAGAGGCTGAAGGCATACTTCCGCATGGGCTGGCCAAAAGCTGGCTCCTCCGGATCATCAACAGCTGGGTATACCCATTCGTCTGACCCAAAACCAATTGACTTGGAAAATGAGAAGTAGAAGCAGGCGTTCCAGTGGATAATGATGAGAATGTACATGATCAAGTTTGCAATGCGGAAGATGTTGGGGTAGTTGGTTTTAGTCTCCGTCCTTGTGAAGAACTCCATCATGCGACCAATCCTCAGAAGCTTGTTGACTCGAATCTCTGGGTAGTCCAGACCCAGAAAGAGATACAGGACATCAGTGGGCAACATGGAGATAACATCCAGCCGGAATTGGAAGCTTTTGATGTAGCGGTCACGAAGTAGCTTTTCATCTTTCACCATCAAGCCTTGCTCAAGGTAACCTTCAAAAGGTACAAAGTCAATGTGTTAATGTGTCGGCCTCTGCAAACGAGCAGATATAAATACTTGGTAAATTTGAGTAAACAGCAACAGATGAAGATATGTAAATTTAAAATGTAACAGAAATTTTTGACATCTTGGGTTAAAAGGGAACTCAGCCCAATAAATTTCTTTACAACAATACGTTCTATGCAGCCCCACAAGTCTAAGCACAGCACTAATTGATACTGCGTATGTGAAATATCAGTTAAGCAGTAAAATCCAGCCATTTTTGTTTATCTCGGATTTTGCTCCTCAACTCACATCCCACAAATGCAGTATCAGAATACAGTGATGGTGCATAGAACATACTACATTTTTCGGGTGGACTTCCCATATAAATTACCCTATAAAACATCACCCATCGTAGATCATATATTTTTTTTTCACCTGTTCTGGTCCTGACGAGCATATCAGCCAGATAGATGAGGTCTGAGGCGTAGTCAAATAAGACCCAGTAAAGGATGTAGTTGTGCTGCAGCTCCTCAAAGCACGCCCTGTTTGCGGGAAAACACCACCAGAAACACAGTTGACTAACGACAGGTTGGTGTGCATTTAAAAAAAATAAATAATATGCCATGACCAGCTCTTGTCTGAACATACACATAACTCTACATACAGTTGTAGAAACTTTGAGGTAGAGCAAAATCAGTTTTGTGAAGACTATAAATTCCAATTTGTCCCTGTTATAAAACAAGTTTTGCCATAGGACTAAAACAGTTCAATAAATACATAACAAATTACGACACAACATGTACAATACCGGTACTTGTAACATGCAGGTTGAAATGACCATGTTTTGGGGCGGTCCTGTCTCATGCAAATGAGCCTCTACTCGCCCCAACCACCCTGTACTGTTCTGTCTATGCATACGGCTTTTGTTACCATAATGACTGAAAGTAGAGCTATGATGTTGTGACAAGAAATGGCTCCGCGTAGTGGAAACACATTTTTGGAAATAGCCAGCTAACAACAATAGATTTATTTGGTTGTTCACTTTCAGACTTTGTAGGTGCACAGGCCCTCCAATGACCCAACTATTTGCACACAAGTATTTTTTCTACATGTCCTCTTTAAGTAGACTGACAAATTTCTAATACCTCAGGGGTGTGCAGCTTTAAATTTCAGTGCATAAAAAACAAACCAAAAAAAATGACAAACTTCAAAATGATGACATTTTGCATTCACTTACATTTAAAAGAATATAAATTCGTAGTGCCAAATTACCTTTGGGTCAAGAATTCATCACATACCCAATTCACATTTTATAAAATGGTACTAAGCCACCATGCCAATAAAAAGGTTGAGAAAAGAGTCACCTAGCGATAATCATGGTCCAGTTGTACATGACTGGTAATGTAACGATGAAAAGCCAGTTGTAATAAAGATTTCCTGCAGGGTTAATGACAAATATATCCTTGGGCCTGTTAAAAAAAAAAAGAAAGAAAAACAAAGCAGACAGAAAAAAAGAAAACAGAACAGAATGACGAAAAAATTCAAATCACTTTTAGTCCTCATTCGTTGTCCATTACGCCAGTTCTGATGGATGATACACTTACTTATCTACATCCGTGTCTTTTTCCTTTTCATTTGCTGCTTGTTCTTGTTTTTCCTTCTTTCTGCGCATTAGAATACAAGTTGACAGTTAGCAGTGAATTGTTTCTTCGATGAAATGTAATCACTTTTCTCCACCTTCTCTCAAGAGAGCACGATAATGACGTAAGGCATCAAATTAGCTTCTACGGTCTTCAAAACAAGATCTTGACCTATTGTATCTCCTAATGACTAAAGAACTGTACGTACTCATCATTGTTGTTGCTGTTTGTGTTGAGGAGACGATTTGGGACTGGCTGAGGCGTAATCCTGCAGCAAATATAGTTTGGAGAAGGTGAGAAAGTACACTCATAAGAAATAAAAAAGCCCATTTTGCCTACTTCAAACAACATGTATTTAAAAGTCCGCTCACATTTTGACCCTTTTGTTTGGCACAACTTCTTGTCCTGAGTCAAGTGGCGGCCGATGAAGTCATATCAGCAGATCTGCAGAGTTATCAATGAGTACTTCAAGCATATATTGTAAGATTCACAACAATAACTAAAATGGAATTAGTCATTTCTTTCTGACAATACTGTATTACAGCATACAGGGATAATTACGCCATCCAGTAGTTATTTGCAGTATTGTTCTATTGAGCTAGTACCAGATAATGTCTCAAAGAACCTGGCTTCCACCATAGTTTGTCTTCCCTTGTAATCAGCCCTCAGTAGATCTCATTACCAGTGTCTCAATATCTTTATAAAGTCTGGGTAAATGGGTAAAACAATTTGAAGAAAATCAAACCTTGCTTCATTTGGTGTACATATATGTTTTTAGTCCTTCAAAAAATACCTTTGAATTCTGTAATTAGGCCAAAGAATTGCATTAGTGTCCATTGATATTTAGAAACGGGAAAATAGCCTACTACTGTACACCTGAGATGAAGTAAAGCAAAATGAGAGCCTTGTCTTTCCCATCAGCCGACAATGTGAAAACAAAATGAACAGAATCCCTTTTTGACAGGTCTTGGAAAAAAAAAGTATTATTTTTAACCTACCTTGGCCTCCAGCTAGCAAGTCCATTTTCTTGTCAGCAAAAAGCGCTGACATCTGCAGTGGGATGTGCAAGTTCCTCAGAAGCTATTTGGACCAAAAAATGTACTTACAGGCAACACTGACATGGATAAAGCATTGGGGCTAAATTAATAATGTCACACAGATTTACCGACCCTGATAAGGATTAGGGGGATTAGAGGTGGCTGAAATGAGAGGAGGCAAAGTCCACCTTGTCGCTGCCATGCAGTGATTGATACCTTCACAGAGTGGACGGCCACAGTACTGACGCCCATTTAGTGATGAAGCTTCTATTATTCTCCGTGTATTTTCTGTTGAGAGAGGCGACATTAGAAGACTGTTGTTGTCTCACACACACACAAACACACACACACACACACACACACACACACACACACACACACACACACACACACGTGCTCTGTCAGCAAACTCAGCCATATCCAACTCTGATCCGATTACATGCGGACTCGTGGAGGATTCACATCAGGTAGAGTAGACCTTCCCCCGTACCTTAATTAAAGAATAGAGATAGAAGTGGCGTCTGAACCCCTGTCACGTTGCGAGGTGGTGGTGGACCCCAAAAAGCAGGCAGGAGGGAGGAGCAGGGTGAACTTGACGAATTGTATTTAATAAAACACAGAGAAAACTGAATCCAAAACAAAGTCCTAAAAACAAAAAGAATCCAAAGTATCAAACAAAACCCATGCTGTAGCTAAAACTGACAGTCAACAAAACATGATCGAGAACACGACAGCTACAGCAAACAAACAGACATGACAGCAACAAAGAAACAATGACCTGACATTGAGTGGTCATGCCGAGTCCTTTTAAAGCAATAATTAGATAACAACTAACAGGTGTGCAGCTGCAGGGAGAGCCCTGCAGTACCACCTGTTGGTCACAAACAGAATCATGACAACCCCTGGCAGTGTTGAGCAATGCAGTGGCTTTTTTCACTTTTTTTAATCTTCCTTTTTAGGCAACGGCGGTATGTTGGCTCAGCGGCTCTCCCTGTTGGCTGCGCTAGGACATGTTCTCCTCCTACTTTTTAATCGCTAATGCTCACAAACAATTGCTACCTTCTTTGCCTTTCTAACCTTGTAAATATTCAAATTTAATGGCCGCATGGTAAGTTAATAGCTGTTGAGCTGTTGGGTTTATGGCAGCAATTGATCATGAATGTATTTCTTATTAACAATACTGAGTCATACCTGATATTGAAGCCAGTGACAACTGGTTTACAAATCTGCAGTCTTTTTGTCAATACAGTTATAAACAATAAAGCAAAGAAAGGTGGAAAAGCAGTTGTTTGTAAAGCAGTTCTTCTCAAATAATGGAATGGGCCTCCAAGGGGGCATGGTGGGATGCCAGGAGGATTGCTGTGACCCTGGGAAATATCCTTTTTATTTCTGTAGTAGAACAAAGTGCAACTGCACATCCACTACAGCAGGTGGCGGTGGTGCTGTCATTTATTTTATTAGATTTTTATTTTAGAAAAATTGATGCATTTCGATTTTTTTTTTCTTGTTGTCTTGTCTTTGTTTTCTTGTTCCTGTGGGGAGAGGCTGACAGAAAGTAATTGAGATGCACTGGTGTAAGAAAAAACGGGAAAGCCACCTGCAGCTGCAGGGTGTGAAGTATAACACCCCAGGCTTACTTCCCCACTCCTCTGTGTTGAATCAAAATATTGCCTGTCCAGTATTTTTGATCTCATACCAGATGTTGCTGCTTATGTTGTCACAAATGTAATCACAAATCTGTTTACATTACAACACTGTAAAAAACGTTATATTTTTGGGTGCTAAGATTGTAAGTGAAAAACTTTTAAATATAAATTATAGAAATTTATGATAGCAATGTTAGCACAACAGAACAAGCAAGTTGTTTGCTCTAAAACGATTTGCTGAGTTGTTTTTACTGATATCTTTAAGTTCGGGGGACAATACAATGGGCATTTATTTCTTTTGAGTGAAATATGAGAAAGCCAATTTTTACAACAGCAACATGATATACATATTTTGTTGATTTGTCAAATTTAAAATGTTATCAATTTGTTGCCTTGAAATTTTGAGTTCACCCAACTTTTTTTTTTTTTTTTACACTCTAGAGCAGTGATTCCCAACCGGTGTGCCGTGGCACATTAGTGTGCCATGACAGATCATCAGGTGTGCCGCGGTAAAATGTCCAATGTCAATTTTATTACTGTATTTTGACAAAAAATTACTTTCTATATAAAAAAAAAAAAATTCTTGATTGATCTATGCCTAGTTACCAACCACAAATAGTAACAGTCATAACAATCAAATGCTCTTCCGCTAGATGACCAAAGATACGTCATGAACTTATGTATCCATATTTTGTGAATTTTGCTCAGTGGTATGCTGTGGTTTAATTTTTTCTGATGTGAAATACGTGCCTTGGCTCAATAAAGGTTGGGAAACACTGTTTTAAAGGGCCTTTTTGACTAGGAAAACCATAAAAATGTATCATTGCCTCATCATATTCCATACACATTATCCATTTTCTGTACTACTTATCCGTGTCAAGGTCACGGGTATACTGCAGCCTACCTCAGCTGACTTCAGGCAGAAGGACCGGTACACCCTGTACGGGTCACCGGCCAATCGCATACATATACAAAGTATTGTCTCAGAATTACATTTTTATTGTTGAATAGTTTCTCCATCAAATTGGATTTAGAATCGTAAGTCATGGAAAATATGGGATGGTAAATATTAAAGTATACAGTTATAATCTTAATTTATGTTAAGCAGGGAAATGGTCCGCTGAAATCATTGCCAGTTAAAGTTCAGTATGCACTTTTGATACAGATTTTTTTTTCCAAAATAAAAAGAGGTATTTTGCAAGAAACATGAAATAGCTGCGCCTTATTTCCTTTAGTGGGAAGTAAAAACAATTATGTGGCAAGCCACATCTGCTTGTTATGGGAAGAAGCTGGAATACCCACAAAAATGCCACAAGCACGGGGAGAATATGCAAGCTTCACACTTCAATGAGTTATGAACCAGAATCTCTTTTAGGCACTTGCTACAATCAGGACATCCCATTTTCCTAATATCCTCAATAAATAATGCATGAACCTTAATGATTAAAGCAGGTTATCTATAATAGGTTATCTATAATGATGTCGAATCATGTCTTGATCCTGTCATTTGTGCGTGATGGTCGAGGACCAAAAAGCAGGGAGGCAGGAGAACCAGGGAGTACTGAACAAAATGCATTGACAAAAAACACTTGCGGGGGTATTCTGGGGGGAAAAAAATGACACCCAATAGACACAGTCGTGAAAAACTACAATAAACCGAAATGACAAACAAACAAAAACTCATGACAGTTAAACAAAGGAACGTGACAGCAACAGAACCAAAAAGACATGACAGTAACACAATGATCCTACAAAGACCGACAGAACCCAGGAAACTAAATACAAGCAAACTGACGAGACAACAAGGAACACCTGGACAAGACGCAAAGGGTTGAGGAAGCTGATTGGTTGACACCAGGTGGACACAAAACCAAACAGGAAGACAAAAGCACATGAGGAAACAAAACCAAAACGTAATCTAAACAAAAAACAGAATCATGACAGATCCCAAATGGCATTAACTCCTGTCACACGCTTTTGTCCTTTGCCTTGTGTTTATGCTGTGATATAAAAAATAAAATAAAAAAGCTATAGAAACCGTTTATGGTATCTGACCTTTATTTAAGAGGCTGGTATGTGGTAACGATAATAAAACATGAACACACGAAGAGAGATGCAATATCGTGTTTGTTTTGCATGAGCAGTATAGCGACTGTTGTACAATGTCAACATGCACCCAGCAAAGCGTATTCTTCCATCTATATTCATGCCTTTGCACCTTTTGCAACTGAACCTACACGGTGACATTTTTAGCTGCCAGAAATATGCAGGGCACAATCATATTACGGCAACGTCGGCCTATGCTGCTGGTGGAGCGGCAGCTTCTGCGGCGACTTCCCCAACTGTCCCTTCAGCGGCTTTTCGGGATGTAGGGGGAGCATCCACAGCTGCCGCATCAACTGCTGCAATCTCTGCGGGGGCATCAACAACTGATGGCACATCAGCAGGAGCTGCGGGGTCTGCTGCAGGTTCCGCTGCAGGCGCTTCTGCCTCGACCGCAGTCGCCTCCTCGGCCTCTTCCGCTTCCTCGGCCTCTTCCGCCTCGTCAGAGTTCACGGGGGCAACAGGAGCAGCAGCTTTTGAGGCAGGATTGTCATCCTGTGTTCCAGAGAAATGACAACAGTATGTATTCGCTGTTTTTGTGTGTGTATGTGAATTTATCCATTGCTTTTTTTTTTTTTAATTGCCCCTTTTTCTCAACAGAATATCTGAATCTGAAGCGTCGTTTTAAAGACTTATTTCTGCATGCCAAAAGTTTTAAGGCTTTATCATTTGCACCAATTAGAGGGAGTGCACACTGTAGTGATCAATCGATATTCAGCTAAATGTCAAGCTTGTCACCTCCTCCTCTTCCTCCTCTGATCCGTCTCCAACCAGCTGAGCAGCTGCAGGAGGAGGAGGAAGACCCACAGTGGTTGCCTGAGCTGGTGCAGTATCCATCCGCTTAAGAAGAAAGAAACATGGGTGTTTGCATTTGGGTGCATTAAACACAGTGGGAACGCTTACCTTGGGTACTGCCTCAGTCAGCTCAGCCTGGACACAATATTTGTATCAACACAAACCGACTTCAGAAATAATTCGTTTCATATGATATATCGTAATATTCACAAATTGTGTATTAAAGTCACAGTGCAGTCAAATGCTACATTTCCGTGTAAAGTGGCCTTTATTTTACTGTAAAAGGGGACCATGTCTCTATTTTGAATGTCTAATCATTTTGACTTACCACCTATCATCGGCTTACAAAAACGTCCGAGATCCCTCCCTAAAGAATGGCTCATTTCCTTTAATATTCCAATAAATCAGACCATGGCAATCAAACCCCCGAGAGATAAATAGAGATGCCTAAAAGGTAGAACTGAAGAAGCCTTTTGAATTCAAAGGTGTAGCATATGCATCAAGCAAAATGAGTTCAGTTGCCTTCATTCCACTTTTGAAGTAGTTTGGAATCTTACTGGAGGAGCTTCACCGGCAGTTCCTGCTCCGGATGTTTGCGACGCAGGAAGGAAAGGGTTTGCCACTATCCCCTGAAGAGAAAAAGACAAATTGGGCATATGGATTTGTATATTCTTTTGTATCCAAATGAAATGATCAATTACAAACCTGCTGCTGGTATAACCTGTACATCTCCATCAACCTCAGGGCCTCACTGGCATGCGCCGCGATCTGCTGGAGAAATACCAGACATTTCCAAGCTCGCAAGCGCAATAGAGACGATTACAACTGCCGTTTCAGACATCCATCATCCCGTGATGTCCGCTGGCCTAACATCATAAATACGACATATCGTATAACAGAAAGCACAGCGATTAGACCAACTTACCTCATTGCTTTGACTCTCCTGAACCTACAGCGGGAGAAGATACGCAAACAATAAATGAAGTCGAATCGTCGTAGTTAACGTGTAAACGTAGGTACATTTGAAATCTTTTAAATTGAAGACAGACTTACGGGAGCAGTCGAGCATGCGACAAACATGCACATCATCATGACAGCTCGCTCCATTTGGACTCTAGATAAGAAATATAATTCTGTTGGTTTTGCTTCAAATAAAAGTCACCTACTTAAAGTCTCACCTTCTTTCTGGTGTGGATAATTTGAAGATGATGTGTCTCTGAAGGGGTGGAAAGTACCTGCTGTTTTTTTTGTTTTGTTTTTTTTGCACATGGAGACCATTTATATACAGTACCTGAGCGTGCTACCATAGCCAATCAAATCCCACCATGCGCAAAGAAGAATGTGTTTGAAGAGATAAATATGCTTCACATACGAAAAAAAAAGTGCATGGGGTCAAGTCTCTTCTTATCTTTAATTACATGCTGTGTAAGGAGCACTCACACACACACACACACACACACACACACACACACACACACACACACACACACACGCACACACACACACACACACACACACACACACACACACACACACACACACACATCTTTTTTACTGACATAATAATTACAGCTGCACAATGATTAGATCCATTGAGGCCAACGGTTAAGAGAAGATGTTTTGATTGATTTATTGCATTTATGAGTGGCTAAGTGTGACAAACACATTGCAGGACATGACTGGACATACTCTGAAGGAGAACTTCCAGGTTTTGTGAGCTGGTGTTGGAGAGACAGTCGTGACTTGAGGGAAAGACGCCTGTGCCCTTAAAAATGTGAGAGGTCCTGTTGTGACAAGCGTTTGCCCCCCGGAGGGAGCATCACATTGAAACCATCCTCTTGCCTTTCTTGGTATCTGTTTTTGGATTTGCACTTTGCATTCCATGGCGTCAGTGGGTGTCATTATGATAAATGGCAGCTCTACCTACCAAAGTGCCTCGACATCTACTGCAAGTGCTATTCCAAGTAGTCCTGAGTGGCAACAAGTGTCAGCAGTTCTTCTCCACGGTGACTGTACTTGTAGACTTGTGTTTTTTAGATTGGTCAGTTTCATGCCCAACACAAATCTAGTGCCAAGCCCAGTTTAACTGATGGTTTTCTTTCTTTTGGTATTTTGGTCGACGGGAGCTGGTAGTAAGGGGCGTTTGCACCGTTGTGCGCTATTGTTCGAGGGAACACATGCTGACTTGTTTGCCATCCACTGGAAGCGGCTCCCTCCATTCCCATTAAATTCAGTGCAGGAAAGGAATGCAGTTCCATGTAAAGTTGGCTGCTGTGGAGTGGACACTTGGACACCGCCTTCAAACACGTGTGTCTGTGTGTGAACAGCTGTACTCCCACCCACCCATAATTGCACCGCCATTACATCCACGGAGCTGAGAATCTCCCTGCCCGCACCTTGATCAAATCCACCAGAATTGCTTTATACCACCTGCTCCTCAAATTTGAGCTGGTCTGAATTCTAGCCTACTTTTTGCCAGCAAATGTTCACTTGCGCTGGGGACGTGTTGAAGAAAACAAAGTAGAGAGCCGAATGCCGCCCAATGTAATGGAGTAAGAGTAATGTTTCTTTCTTAAGAAAAATACTCAAGTAAAAATAAAAAGTAGGTTGCATGAAAACCACTCTGACAATTACAATTTATCCAAGACCTTACTTAAGCAACTGTAACAGAGTAGATGTAGCACATTGCTGGTGTGTTGGGACCCGCTAGATTGTCCAGATTAACGTGATCAGTTTTCAGTGAGAAATTCCGCCTGTAGATGAAGTGCATTCATATTCTCGTGTAGCCTCCTGATTTAACATGCCAGTTCACTTTGCAAATATCCTTGAGGCAAAGCACCCGACAACTCATGGTGTACCTCTCCTTTTCTATATGTGAATTTAACAGGAACAATGAGAATCTTGATGACAAAGGACTTGGTTTCCCACACGCTCAGCGTGTTCCTTCCAATATCTATGCATAAAAGGCACTTCGAGCACTTGGGGTTGGTTGTCACGGTTACGATCATAATGGGAAATGCAAGTCTGAAAAAGAGGTCTCCTATCACAAAAGCACAAATGTATTTGAAGTGAGAAGGAAAGTGCGATGGGTTTATTTTTTGTTTGTTTTCATTGTTCTGTTTTTGTCTCTCAATCTGATCTCAATCATATTGGTGGAAAGAGCTAAAAGAAAGGACCGTTCAAACTTGAGACAAACTGAGCGCTTTGCTCATGAAGAGTGGGCCAAAATACCAGCCGAAAGGTGCAGAAGTCTCATCGAAAGTTACCAAAATCATTTAATTTCAGTGCTTATCTCAAAATATTAAGTTAAGGGCACTCTCGTTTTTGTCCAGGGCTGTTTCATGTTATTGTTTGTAAAAGAATTCTTTTGAAACACAATTCAAAAGCAGTGTCTGATTTTTTTAATGTTTTATTTTCAATGCATTTTTGTTCTGTCTTAGTTTTGTCAGATTCAAGTTTTTTTCTTTGACAACTGTCGTTTTTTTTTTCTTTCATTAACAGAATAGTACCAACACTTTGGTGCACTCTATTTTCTGTCAGCCAATTCATCCATCCATCCATCTTTGTGGCGCAATCTTCACCACGGCCGTGATTGCTGGTAGAGCTTTCAATATGTATCCATTTTCAAACCGTGTGTCCTTTACCGTTTTGCTCGAACTGCTACACCATTATTTTTTTTTCCAGTGAGGTTTGGTCCTGAAACTCGCTGTGGTTCATGCGATGGCAGAGGGTTGGCGTCCGATGTACAAATCTGAAAAAAGAGGAAGAAAAACGTCTCAAGGAAATGGAAGTAACACTTGCGTAAACATTGAAGCATCACAACAACATCTTGGTGTTCTTTCACATTCACAGTTTGCTGGGGGTGGGCGTCGTGAGGTGAAAATACAAATGGCAGCAACTGTAATGTAAAAAACATTTGGCCTCTGAGGCAAAAATAAAAGAAAATAATTGTTCTTTATGCATTTAGTGCCACTGAAATGCAATCTTGACTATGCTCTATTGAATTTTGTGGATTTGGCCTGTTTACCCGCTGCTGGGAGAAGTCATACAGGTAGTGCTGTGAATGGCAAAAATGAAAAAGGGTTTATAAAGTTAGAGCTTATTGTGCTAAACATTATTGCAGTCATTCAGTAACTTTGGACCCAATGGGGACTATACTGAATATGAGTGTATATTCCACTTCCACACTCTGCCTGCCAGGTGGCTGTGGCAGACAGTATTTGATGAAACCATGAGGGGAATGGGTGCAAGAAAAAAAGGGAGGTGGGGGAGGGGGGTTTGAACTACATTATACTATATTTTCAATGTTTAATGGAAATGCTTAAAGTTAGGAGGGCCCCGTCAAGGGCCCTCCCTCATCTTTCAAAACAAACCGCTGATGCACGTCGTCATGTGTGAACATGTTATACATCTTTTAAAAGCTGAGTTTTTGGAGATTTGAATGGTACCCTACATGTTACAATTGTCAAATTTGAACCGAAGCTTGGGGACACTTAAGCTTTGATCCTGTCGTGTTTTCAAGTCCTAATCAACATTCTAAATCCATTTTCAAGGCAGATATTGTGAAAAGAAATTAGACGAACATAAGATTCGCCATTTTCTTCTGTTTTCAAACATCCATAGTTCAGTGACAGGAGCACTTACAGAAATTCTTACTGTATGGGAGAAATATTCATAATGTGACATTTTGAAAATTTCAAAAAGTGACCAAAACTATGCTGATACTCCAAATGGTTCAAGAATAGCTAAAAATGAACTTTGGGTGCACCTTTCCACAGGCGTTTTCGGCAAAGTTGCCCTCGGTTAAAGGGGTTAAACAATCTTTACTGACATGCAAGCTTAAATGCTAGTCAACCACTGATGATAATGTGAAACGTATTGCTGGCACGGCCTTCAATAACTCCCAGACAGCAGTTTAGTCAAAAACTCTTCAGGTGTTAAATTTTTTTAATTTTTTTGTTCTGAGCTGCCAGGACACAGCAGAGTACCAGAGTGTACCGATTTGTTTTTCCGGTACTTTGGTCTTCATCTATCACTGGCACACTTCTGTGGCGGCCTCGCAATCAAACAAATAATTGTGGTCATAATCCTCAATGTGCTAAAGTCTTACAAGATTTGCCGTGATCTCTCACCCAGCAAGGGTTTGTGTGACTTATAAAAAAGATACTTTTCTCATTCATCAAATATATCCAAAGAAGTACTCACTTGTGCAGGCTTTACTCCACCTGCACCTCCAGCGAAATTCTGTGGCTAGATCTACAAAAACGGTGGATGGTAACAAACAAGAATGTGACATATCAGACTGTTGGAAGGAGTATTAAGAGTTAAAAAAAAAAAAACTGTGTGCCCCAGTTTCCAGCACAGACGGATCTCCTTTTAATGAATTTTTTCCCTAAATGGTGTGAAAACACAACATCAATGCTGGTTTATTTGTATGACTCTTTCTTTCTGGACACTCTACCTGTGGAGGTGGCATCAGTTGTCTGCAGCTTCCAAAGTGAGGCAGATAATGGAACACAGACTACAAAGAAACAAACAAACAAAAAACCCAATTAGTTTGCATAATGCAGGAGTGTTGCTGGAACATAAATGAGAAAGTAGCACTTAAAAGTAATGTAAAACATACAGGTGCAGCAGAGGCAAGGCTGGCCAGGCAGGGATGCACAAGGACCACTTTCATGTTGGCAACGAGTCCCAATGCTACAGACGTCACCTTCACCAAAATGCATGAACTTAAATCCAATGAAATAAAAGAACATTTTAGATGAATAAAGAATGAATGAAAATGTGTCGCTCACCTTCTGTAGGAATAAATGGAAATATTGATAGTGATACACTGTGCCTTTTATAGCATCATCTGAAGCTAATCACAGTGCGTAGGAAACACGTAAAAAAAAAAAAATCAACCAAAAAAAATGTGTAATTTAAGTTTTACCAAATTGCCGTTAACTTCATCAAGATGAACAGCACACTTTGCTTGATTACAGTGTCTGGTGTCTGGTAGAACATACACCTTTACCCTTCCCCAATCATTCAAATTTTTATGCTGCCTGAGAACTTCATTTCCACTGGGGGTGATAAATACTGTAATTGTGTAAGTGCAAGGTCAAAATAGCAAATTTTCAAGGTCAAATAAGCAAGGTGTGCGTGTGCATGTGAGTTTCCTCAACAGGGTGTACAGGCTCTCCTTCAGAGATAAGGTGAGAAGCTCGGTCATCCCGGAGGTGCTCAGAGTCGAGCCGCTTCTC